CTGCAATTTCATGCAGTCTGTCTTCGAGAGCATCGTTAACCAAGCTAATCAACTCACGTCGCTTATTCGGTCTGCGTCCACTCGGTAATAGTTTCTTCAATTAAAAACATTAAGTATGCCATCATTACCACACATTTCATTTTTTCCAAGCCAGGAATGCAAAATAGTTCACCCAGAAAAAGCTCTTTTAAAGGAATTGATACAAAATATCACTTAACATCAATATTATAAATAATTACGGAAATATGACTAAAATCGGCGAATTAACAACTTTGCAATCATTAACCAATATTTGAAGATTCACCAAAAAAAAAAGTCGACTATCTGGCTTTTGACTTTTAATCATTCTCGCTAACTGCTCCAACCCCTTCAGCATATCTTCCTTATTCATCCCAAAATCTGAATTACCAATCGAAACAACAATAACCTAAAAATGTAATGAGCAACACACTGAATACAATTTACTACCAATGAGCACAATCCATACCTCAATAAGCATTATCTCAATGCATTAACAAATAACACTCGAATGAAGTATCATTTGATATATCTACAAATATCATCAAACAAAAGCGATTGACTTAAGTACCTGCACCTCTGCTACTGAACAATCGAATAATGAAAATCAACAAGTTTCATTTATGAGCAATTTTCATTGTGCATGTCTGGGGACATGTTCAAAATAGATATGATTTTAGATAGAAGAATACATTCCACCTCTTCATGGCCATCTGGATTAGAGCTTAAACGTAAGTTCTCGATTCAAAAAGTATTCTTACGTGAAGAATATCGAATAAAAATGCGACCAACTTTTGGACTGAGACTATCCAAAATATTACTCTCGAGTCGCCAAATTAGATCCGAAATACGATCACCTAATGCACCGAAACATAAACAATGCAACGGCGCAAAATGCTCGCGATAAATCTGTAAAACATTTTGATCTAAGAACGGCAAAATTCCTCTGGGGACAGATCCCACATGAAGACCAATTTTCTGCGCAAATAAGTTTAACTTATAAACTAAAAGGATAAACTAAGACAGAATCTAATTCCACTAATATCCAGTTAAGCAGATATACGCATCTAATGATTGAGCTTGCCATTTGCTCGCAAAACTACGATCGACTTAATGTTACTATGCTGCAAACAAATTCCGCAAAGCTTATCTAAACTGGAAAGATAATTTAACATTTATGGTTTGTTCAATTTCTGTCAGTTTGCTCAGTTGAATGCAAATAATTATATGATCGCTTTCAATGTCAACTAGGGTTTCCAAGCCGAAGCGTTTATAATTCCGTGTTCAGGACTGGGTTTTCTAGCAAATCTTAATGTACGTGTTATCATATTGGTATTATCAAAAACCATAAAAAATACTTAATATTCAAAATTAAAACGACCTCTTAATAACTGACCAAACTTTGCTCAAGTAGAGCGATATGATCGTCGCCTAAAAACAGAACATCAGCTTCTTTGTCTTTGGCCTCTGATACGAACCATTCCTGCTGAAATGATTTCTATTCATTTACAACTTAAACAAATATCATTCCTCGCCCACACATACGTCCTCTTCTCTCCCACTGTTCTTCCGCTTCAGCTATTACACACATTCACTTACCAATGTTAATTTTGAACCAAAACAAAAATCATATCATGAACGTAAAACCAAAAACAATTAGTTTCCATCAACTCGTCACGTTTGAAAAGAGAACATGAGAAACATTCGGAACAGATGAACAGATGACGGCTCAAAATGAATTACTAAACAGCAATTAAAATCAAAATACCAGATCATTTCTCCTTCCGTCTTCATAATCGTCCATATTGTGTGCTGTTGTTTGCATACTTTCAAAACGCCAACGCAATTACCTCTGCAAGCAAAAAAAAATTGAACTTATTTAGCAAAAGAAACGGTAAGAATTTAATAGAACGATAACATCCAAATTCAAAATTACTTGCACGCATAAACATATCCTTGCACGACGGTACATGCAAGTGTAACTTACAAGAATTCGAAACAGCGATAACATTCTGAATGAAAAAAAACAGGTCGTCGGCCAAGGAAGTGACCATGCAGAAAAATGCAATTAGCAAATCGAACCGTGAGCAATAATGTCGATAGGAGACGATCGAGACAAGAGGCGTGTACCAAATCGACATGAAGACAGAGATAGAGAGAGCAGCGCTTAGAAACAGATGAAAGTAACAGACATGTGAACGAATGTGGTTGAGACGGGAACGGAGAACACGGCTGAACAATTGGCGCGATCGATTGAAGTATTAAACAATTGAAATATTCCGAAGCAAATTTTATGATAAATTATTATATTTTGAATTCTTAAGCGCATGAAAAGCTTTATCAAAAGGCATTCTCAGTTTGAAGACGTTTGTAAACTTTTCAGAGAACACAGCGCGGAATTGAAAATGTTCATAAAACTGAGTGACACTTGCGCAAGGTTCGATTATGGTAGAATGGAACCGTTGTTCAAAAAAAGTGAAGCGCTAGAGACATAAGAAAAGAACTGATACAATTTTGACAAACAAATACTCATGGTGGTATTTTGACTAATGTGTAATGAAGTTGAGTTGAAAATAATGAACGGGTGTCACGAACATTGCGAGATCTTCTGAAAAGGCTGTGAACACACTGTCACCAACTACAATCACACAACTTTTGAGTATTCAAAAAAGATTTGGGGTAACACCATCGCATTCGGTTTTATAGAAGGTCAGAAGCATGTGATTTACAATTAGGTGACATTGGTAGTATCGAAGAGATCCGTAAGATGATTTACGTACACGCTTGCGGTGTTGAAAAGTATGTGCAGATGCCATCAAGCGATAGCGGATATCTGTTTTGAACGAACGAAAAGAAGAAATGCCTTTCTGGAACACACAAGCGCACAAGCAAGTTGCCAATCGGTTTATTTTTGAATCAATGCAACTATTCAAATTCTTAATTTAGGTGACTCTATACGTTGCTCGCCGGCAGCATATACACTAACTTCTTCTTCAAAAGCAGTGTTCAAAACTTTCTGCAGTGTTAACCTTACGTTTCCAGAAAATCAACGGTTATTTCCTACTCCTTACGGTATGCAGTGTATTTTCAGTTCTTTATGCTAAACATGGAAACATTAACTTTCGCTTTGAAATGTGATTTGGAATCCTACTCTTAGCAGATTTTCTGTTCAGCATTGTTGTTTTCAATCTGTCATTATCAAAATATTTCCCCCGTATATGATACTCGTTCAGGCTTTTTGGCTTAATATTTTCTCAAATTCACCTTCTTCATCGTGTTCTTCCTATTGATC